AACAACTTTATTTTTTCCTGTACTGCATCAAATAATATAAAATCAAGTGAATGAATGACTCAATTAACATATTCTGAGAGATTTAAAACAAATTAGTAATAATTTATGAAACAACCCTGTCTTTAATTGAAGGTTTAAACAAACATGTCTTTAATTTAAAGTCTTTACAACCCTGTATACTTAACTATAAATTTTTCTTTCTCTTGACACTATGCTTAGAAGGATTAAGCAAATAAGCTGGAGATTAACATAAAACACAACATAAAGATGAAGATAAAAAGGATGTAAAATATATGAAAACTAATCTAAATTGTAATAATGATAGAAAAAATTTCACACATTTATTCACTTACAATTTGAAATATCACATAGAGCTGATCTATTAAAAGGTTGAGAAGCATCACATTAAATTTCAGATGGAGCGATAGGAGTGCCTAAACTAACGATAGCAAGATTTTCCATGTAGACATGTGATTTGTTTCCTATAAGCACAAGCAAGCAACAATTAAAACTATAAACAACAAAAGTTTCAATAGAAATATAAAAGAGATGTAAACAGTATAAGGGTAAGAGTATAAGGGGATAAAGAAATTGAAATATAAAAATTGTACGGAATAAAATTAATAAAATAGACCTTTAGAAACATGAGATTGTGTATCAAGCTTGGTGGATTTGCCAACCACATTTATAGAGCTTTTATCATTTGAATAGGCAGAAAAAGGCATTTGCAAAGACATATTAGAACCTGGATTCACATGTAAAACAGAACTCTTTCTTCTAATACTGCCAACATTTTTCTCTTTTAAACTGTAAATAAAATAATACATGCATTTTCATATGATATATAGAATCAAATAATCATATAACATTGATAAAAAAATATGAAATAAAGATCTTACGTTATATTAGAATTCCCTGGATACGTAGATGCACTTTCTCTGAAAAATTCAAAACTTTCCCTCCGCAAGACTTCACTACAACCAGAGTCTAGGATGGGGAACATAACTTTGTCACATTGCTTCTTCATTTTGGCATTACGATCTAGAGATCTATTTAACAGTTGAGATGTAACCAAAACAGAAGCAGCAAATGGACTAGCCATAGGTGTCCATGAACCAGTATTATCAAACTCAGCTTGCAAACTTGATTTTCTTTTACCCTTTGGATCCCTGTAATTATAGGAACACATAAAAAATTAAAAAGGAAACATAAAGTGTCTGAAAATATGAGCAAACCAAAAAATCGAGGAGCATACATGAGCAAAGAAGATGGAATATGTGGAACGGGAGACAAATGATGCAAAAGGAAAATGAAATAAGTAGTACAGGAGATAAATAAGAAAACAGTGTTTAGAAGATCATAAGCCACTGTTTTGAAAATATAAACAAAAAAAGACAAATGAAGAACATATATGAGCAAAGAAAAGGAAATAAGTGGAATGGGAAAAAAAGGATTTTCACTTACCAATAACAGCATTAAATACCCTCAATTGAAAATCATCTGTGGAACAAAATCAAAAGTCAATATTCTGAAAACATAAATATAATAAATAAATAGAGAGCATTAATTGAAAAAGTAAATAGGATAATAGACAAATAAGGAGCATTAATTGGAAAAGTAGGTAGGATGAGTGGTACGGGAATTGGCTCTAAATATTTCAAGATTGGTGACCTTATTAAACATCATTTAGAATTTTAAAAAGTGGAATGGCAAGAAAGATAGCTACAAGATTGATTAAAGTTACCTCGCTTATCTCTAAGGCCTTGATACCTGCCAAGAGTTGGGGTTCTGCCGCGCAACCTTTTAGCATGCATTACAAAAATAAAAGCAAAGATAAAATTACCACTCATAAAACAAATCGGGAACATGGACACAACATTATGGTAATGACAACGTGAAATTTCTAAACTATTTTACACCAAAAGATCTTGGAAGTTGCCTCTCAAATGGTAGAGATCCACATCTAGAGTCTAAAGTATGGCAATATTAAATGCCCTCAAATAAAAAAATGTGAAATAAAATCACAATTAAGAAGATCAAAAGTCTAAACAAATATAGTAATAAAGAAGTAAATCAATAGAAATATCACTACTAAATATGGAATGTAACCCAAATTACTGAAATATCATCAGTTAAACTACCATGCAAGAAGATAAATATGGTTATTGTAATGAAAAAAAAGACAATTGTTAATTAAATTTCATGAGCACAAAGGATGAAATAAGTGGAAATCCCCATATAGTAAGAAAACCATACAATATCAAATGCTCTTAAAAAAGACATACAAAATAATAATTAAGATTAAAAGGCTAAATAGATAAAAAGATAGAAAAGAAATATATATTCCCATTACAATGTCTTATAAAAGATGTTTAACCAAAAAAACATACACTTGAAGTTCATTATCTGAAGCAAAACTGAAAGTTCATTATCAGAACCAAAAGATGTTTACCACTACTGGTAGTCAAATAAATACCTGAAGCAAGTTCATTATCTCCATTCTTGATCTTGATTCCTTCTTCTTCTCCATCAGAACTTGGTTAAGCCTCTCCTGCAAGAGAAACACTCACATCATCAAAACTGTATGATCCCATTCTCTAATCATAATCAGAATAGATTCTTTTTAAGTTTTCAAAAACCTTGGAGAAAAGATCCTACCTGCAACTTTATGTACTCCTTCTCTTTTTTCTTCATTTCATGTATTTATTGGGTTCTCACTTGCTTTTTTAAAATCGACACATAATTAACAATAGTTAGTACCAATACATTGTTTACAATTAGCCACAGAAATAAAGCAATCATACTTCCAAGTTAGAAAATCTGCTTACCTAATTACCAATCACCATCCTCTGAAACTCATCCCTTTCCTGTTGTAGCTTCTCAATTTGCACCTTAAAAGCTGTTGTATTTTTGGCCTCCTAATCACATTTATTTTAACAAGTGGTCCTTAATTTGAACACGAATGTCAACTAAAAAGAATCTCACTTAACAAAACCAAGAGATTCCAACCGTTCTCGTAATTGTTGCTATTTCTCTATCTTTAGTTTGCAACTGTGACTCAAGCCTCTCAACTTTTGCCTCTAATCTTGATATATCTGATAGTAATCTACACAAAGGATATGCAACCAGAAAATTATTTTAGAAAAAATATTCACTCCACTTCAATGTTCATTTCATAATAGCATTTAACATCAAATGCTAATACCATGTTAAGATGTAGAAATATCAAAAACAGAACTACTCCCCCGAATTGAGCAAATAAATAACATAAAATAGAAAATACCTTTGTCGTTGTTCATTTGCAAACTCTTTAAATTCAATATCGCGTTGTCGCTGCTGCAACAGAGAATATAGGCAATTACAAGTCCTCGTAATCAAAATCTACAAAGAACAAAAAAATGCCGATTGCATTAGCAAAAAAATTTAGAAAAAAAAAATTCAAGGAGAAGAAAAAGGAAAAGACAAAAAAATTCAACGCAACAGCGTGATATTGAGGCAAATCCCTGACCTAAGTATCAACAAGAACAAGTCTAAGATCTATTTCTGATGCATAAATGCAATACCTTGCCAGAAGAAGTCTTAATTATAAATGAACCAGAAAATAATACAAAACCACATAATAAAATTGTCAAACCAGAAACAATCATATTAGACACGCATGAGCAGTAATGAAATTAAAAGGTTGCATCAGCTGCTGCA